CGAGTGTCATGGCAGACGCCCAAATCCACTATAATTTTATAAATAATACTGTTTCTGTGTCACAGAACATAGTTTTAAGAGTTTTTTTAGGCAACAGTGCAGTTGTTTAGACTTCAAATATGTGGTTTGTTAATGAAGATAACATCGATTTGAAAATTTGCTTTGACGTTTTTGTAGATGTGAGCTCCAGGGCATCAGCGGCCGTTCAGCGCTCATGAACCCACCGAGAGCAGCCTCACCTCGGTCAGTTCTTCTGGAATTTGCAGCTGGCTCTGATATCTCTATAGTGGTTAAACATGAAATATAATTTGTTCAGGGTAAATCTAACGGGCAGTCTTTGGTCTCATTAATCTATTATTTGTTCTAGAGCAAACAGTTTTGGCTGAGGGCAAAATCTCATAACGTTATATTTTATATAACTTTAATGCTGTATATCAGAGAGCTGCTTTTGTACTTTTGACTGAATTGCTTAAGCAACTTTTATGATGCCTGTTGTTGTTTATTAAATATTATTATTCAATAAATAATATTTTATATAATAGTAGTGTTTAATAAAAGTACTTGTGTGTGTGTTTGTGATGGTAATGTTAGTTACATTGTTCCGCCATTAGATTGCGACTGTTTTTATGTCAGCAGTAAAGACTTTTATATTGAAAGAGACTTAAACTGTTTTACTTTCAAAAACACCTTGTAAGTTTACTGTGAATTCACATTGTGAAGTTGTCTTTGTCACTATGAGAAATGTAGTTGTTTACTGCTGTAATTGTTTTGAAGTCATCATAATGTTGATTTGTGATCCCATTTGTTTGGGCTCTTTGACCTTGCATATTCATATTCAAATTTCTGATCTAATCATGTCAGAAGTGGGACAAATGTAAATTTGTTAAAATTATGTTAAGATAGAATATGAAATAAGCTAACTGCCTGACTTTAAGATAGTCAAACTTCTCAGCATGAACATGAAGATTTTATTTCTAGCATTAATTAAGCATAAGATTAATCAGTATCTTATTTCATATTCATAACTTCAATGGATCTTTCACAATAGTGAAGCATCTGCTGAGAAACATCTTTGAAAGATGTGACATCAATACTCGACATACAAAACACAACAATGGTAACACTCAACAAATAAAAACAACACTTACGACATAAACCAACATAACAAAATAAACAAACAACACAAACTGCTAAAAGTGAACCAAAAACAAGTTCAATAGCACAAATAAAACCAACAAGAGTTAAAAAACTCTACAGCATTATCTATTCATGCTGCATTGCATGCTGGGAAAACATCACTGTAGAAACACAGTATGATGCTGTTTGTTTACAAGAAATTTCTGAAAGTGCAGTTAGATACAAGAGAAGTCCTACTGTGAAATTACTGTGAAAGTAATGCAATTATTAACCTGGAATATACTGTAATTTCACACTAAAATTTGTAATAGTGTATAAGTATATCCAACTTTATATGCATACATACGGTACACTCGCATAAAGCCACTAAACAGCATACATCTCAACTGCTTGATTGCTTATATTGTCACAAAATGTAAAATATATGTAAACCCAGCAATCTGCTAAATGCGACTATATGGCATGAAGACATATTAAGAAATTATAAGAAATTATATATTAACATCATTTCCTGTATAGCTGCCTTGAATTAATGGGCATTGTGAAAAGTGCTATACAAATAAAACTGACCTGACTTGAAATTGACTTGATATTTCTGATTTGATAAAACAGCCAAACAGCTACAAAAAGGCCACCTTATCTGCAATATTTACTATGAAATCATTAGCAGTTTTTCTGACTCAAGGCACAGGTATAGAAGTAGACGTATAGAAGTTTATTTTTCAAAACTTATTTTTATAGTCATTTGTTCTTTTATTTTTCTCTCACTCTGTAGAAAGACTGGCTGCCTCAGTGGCACAGAAATAATAACAATCTCTCAGCTCCTCATCCACAGTTTAGCCATTCCTTTCGGAGGCAGCACCCTACAGCAAAACAACAATAAATGAAGTCGTAAATCAGCCTTGCTGCTGATGTGATGGCCTAATTTTTTAAAGGAACGCTAGGGTGTTTTATCTGCTTGCATGTGGCCTAAACAAAACAAAATTAGATTTTTGTTTTCTTTCTGGACAAAGATTAAGGGTACCACTCTTTGTAAACAACAACAAAAGAAATACATTTTCATTTCTTAACATTTTTAAAATGGATAAAAATGGACTAACCCAAATACATTGGCTTTGTTCAGAATGAAATACTACCGCATACTGCTTACTGCACAGTACACTGCAATATTTCCAGCACTGTATACATCCTTTTTTAAATTGATAAACATTTCAAACAATAGTATGCTACAGTGCTAAATGATCTCAATTGTACACAATGATCATTGTAAAAAAAAAAATATATATATATATAATAACTTTGATTTTTTTTTCAGGTTGTTTTCTTTTATTTTAAATTGTAGTGGATGAAAAATTTTGCACATAAAATAAAGTAACAACATATTCAAGAGATAACGATTTTGGGTTTTAGTAATAAATAATAATATATTTAAGGATTAAACTGTGGGTCATATTAGTAGGGTTAAAAATATAAAAATTTAAATCAACCCAAAATGTATTGGTTATACTACAATCACAATAAAAGGGCAGCTGTTTCTTCAACAAGACCACAAAATGAGGAAATTTCATAAACATCAAAATATTTACAGAGAGATCAATTAAACCTGTCGCTCATATCTGTTGCGCTTGTTATAACGTCGTAGATCACATGATAATGTCAACATGGCGGATGATGCCTGGATCGCATTCATACTCAACGAGATTTGGCTGTAGAGTACCTACTCTTTTAGCTCTCGTTAAGTAAGTACTTAATGAAATTAAGTACCTACTCATTGAGTAGGCGGTTTTGGACGCAGCCAATGAGTCCAGAGGCGTGACAACTGGCAGCAACAGAACATTAAACACTAACAGATCTCTCTAGATCTCAGCATCTTCGCTTGTTTCAAACCAATCAGACTTTATTTCTTTCATACAAAACAACTTATATAAACAACTTATGGATAGTCTAATCAACCACATTGCATTTTGTGATACAGTCCCCTGTCAGTGTCATAAACTGTGAGTAGAAGGGAATACTCTCAAAACAGTGTTAATATTGTTTCTAACGCTTCTGCTAGCCAAACAACTCTTGCTCGAGAAAGACCTTTAGGTCATTGCTAAAGTTAGGCAGCTGAAGCACAAAAGCTTCAGCATTACACCGTCTTTTCAGTACCATTTCTAGTGATAGCCTACAGGCATGTTTGTTCTAGTTAAAGGGCTTCAATTAAATTACCCAGCTTTCCTCTCTGTTAAGTTCTAATGCTGCTGTAAGTTAGCCGTGGTGTCTCCACAAATCCCCTGGGCACCAGCATATCCTCTCAACTTTACATCCTTATTAGAGGAGTGTCCTCATTAATGGACATTAGGCTTTCAGAGGAAGCATTTTGGTGCAATAAAGACGTGTGTAATGATGGAGATCTTGGCAGTTAGCAAAAAGCTGCTTACTATTAAAAGCAGTGAGTGTGACTCATTAGCGTCTTCAAAAACACAAGTTTGTGGGATTTTTATGGCTTCTCCATTAGAGACAACATTTGAAGTGGTTTCAAAACAAAGCTGTAATAAACCACAATGTTAGCTTCATTATATTAACTCCAAGGGGGCCTCGTATAAAACAAACTAAGCAAAGCTAAAAAAAAAAATTCTAAGTGATTTCTAACCTGGTCATGATATAATGCATAAGAATATTTCTAGTTATGGAAAGCTCAAAAAAAAAAGTTAGGTAGAAAATGTAAGTTTAAAAAATAAATAAATAAATAAAAATCGCACTCTTTACATGATTTTACATGACTTTTCCAGACGTTCATGATTTACTGAACTAAAAATAAAATAAGACAGTTGCAGTGGTCAAACTGAAATATTTTTGTTGTAGAGTAGACTACAGTAAATCATTTGTGGTAGAAGGGATGTGGTCAGTTTTTACAGTCTCTCAGTTAGGGATGCACCGATACCACTTTTTCCAGTACTCGCCCGATACCGATACTTTTATTTTTGGTACTTGCCGATACCGAGTACCAATACCGATATTTTTATTGCATTTGTAAAATTTTACTTTTTCCAGTACTCGCCCGATACCGATACTTTTATTTTTGGTACTTGCCGATACCGATGCCGATACCGGTATTTTTATTGCATTTGTACATTTTTTAAATATTGGGTACAGAAACCAAAAGGGTATGTATAATGTTAGTTGGTTAACTTCATTTATCAAATAGATACAGTCAAACCAAAATTTATTCAGACACCTTCAACATTTCTCACATTATCACAGTTTATTCGTTATAGTTTAGAAAATGGTAATAAAATATGACAAGAACTCAGAGTTACACTGTGTCAGAACAAATTCATCTTGATAATGCTAGATAATTCTGATAGAAAGGTATGTAATAGATTACAATCAACCAAAATAATTCAGACAGCTGTTAGTATGACAGTATTTACACAACTATGAATACTTTGTCGGGCAACCCTTAGCCTCAATGACAGCCTGTAGTCTCCTGGGCATGCTGTCACCCAGCTTCATGCAAACCTCAACTTCAGTTTTTTTCCCAGACTCGGTCTGAATAATTTTTGGACCCAAATTTGTATCAATTTTACTGGTAGTCCACTGTATGAAGAATTTTTGGGTATGATTTGTCACAGTTTACTTTATTTTGCTATCCTCACTTACATAAATGAACTATAGTGTCCTGCACCCACTAGTAAAAAAATATCAAAAATTATATCTGGTCTCTGAATCATTTTTGGTTTCACTGTATATCCTTCGGTTATTTTCACACTTAATTATGCCCATTAAAATGTATTTTACAAGTTTTTGTTACTTTTACTGTTCATTTTTTTGCTCTATGGTACATCATCTTTAATTTAATAGCATTAGAGCAGCGGCTTAGTACTGTAATCACGCGCTTTGCTGTAATAATGCAGGGAACCACTCGTTATAAATCTCCTAACTGTGATATTTTCAGAAATAGAAGTCGCGTTTTTTCATCTGAAACGTGCTGCGATTTATATTCCAAAGCCACTCATATAATGCAGAAACACTCAAGCAAGCAAAACACGCGCAACGCCTGCACGTGTTTGTACTGATGCAGAATAGTACAGTCTAGCGCATTTCACACAGGCTGCTAGATTCACTTTCGCTAGAAAGTCGTGTATGCCTAAGGTTGAAAATAAATGATGTTTATAGTGAATGCCCCTATGAATGGTTTTATTTTTACGATTTAGTTTTAATCCAAATGATGCGTGCTAAGTGAGTGAACATCAAAGATCACACAACAGAAGTGCGCGCGTGCTCTCTCTCGCTCTCTCTCTCTGTCTCTCTCTCGCTCTCTCCCTACCGTTAAGTAACTTGTGCATTGTTTTACTTACTTGTCTTTGACATATCCGACCGAACTATAAACTTTCCAATGATGTCTGTGAGAAAGGTATATTCACTCGACAAGCTCGCGCATCTGCGCCGCCGCGCGCTCAATCCACTCAGCGTGCTTTGTTAATCAGCTCGCTCACATCAGCTATACAGGCGTTAATACTGAATGTTTAACGTTATATTCATTGCATACATATACTTCGTAGTAGACATCCTTAACTCCTTTCTGCTGTCTGTTGTTCTGTTGTCAGTGTTTCTTTTTCTGAATATGGCACTTATCACATGCTGTGTGGTAACGGCGTTTGGTATCGGGGCATTTTAACGAGTACGAGTACAGGAGACCAGTATCGGGCCCGATACCGATACCAGTATCGGTATCGGTGCATCCCTACTCTCTGTGTTGTAACAAGCTTGCTATTACTGTTGTTGTGAATAGCGGGGTCCAAAAGATTGAGACCACTTACTGAGGCCCTTTATTTGCTTCTTTTCTTTTCACATTCATAAAACGTTGTGTTTATTTCCAGGTCTACATTTGTAGTAGTCTCTGTGTAATGAAAGACAAAAAAATTCTACTGTTATTATCCCTATTGGCAATGTTAATATTCTTGGCTCCTGATAAATTGCAGTTTTTTTCCTCATTTGTAAGTCAGATAATAGCATCTGATGAATGAATAA